CGGTTTTCCTTTTTGGACTGTTTGGACTTGTTCACCTGTGCCATGCCCCCTGAGCACCGGATCCCCATGGTCACGCCCCCCTGTCTGTCATCCCGTCCTGATCCTCATCGTGTTTTCCCTTTTGACCTTCTCCAGTTACTTCCGGATTATACAGTCTGCACAGGGTCCTACTGTAACTACGCACTTCACTTCACCCCTTATACTCGTCTCCTGCTTACCTGGGTTACTGATTTACCAAGAACTGAATTAACTAAGGTAGATCCCCTGCAGCTCAGCACACACCTGGTCATCCTAGTCCTTGTTTTGAAGTCGAGATTTGCAAATACTGACCCTCGATTCTGAGACACTGCGAATAGCCAGGCTGTCACAGTATTTACTGTAGATATGTTACCTGTTTCTGAACAGATTCAAAAATGAGTAACTCAATAGAAATAAAAGGCACCTTCCAGAAAGCTACGCAAGCAAAAGTACAAAGATATCATACGTTACTCAAGTATTAGAAAGTAAAAAGTAGGTTTCCTTTCTGCTGTTACCCTGACGTTCTCCAATTCTATTTCTCAGCAGCATTACTACATTATGCACAAATAAAAGTTCAATTTAAATCTCACTTCAAGAATTTAAACAATAGTCATATCCATTATCCATGAATAAAACAATAAATGAAAAAGTTCTAGGATTTTCTAGGATAGTTCTAGGAAATTTTAAAATTATGAAATCCTATTTTGAAACAGCTTATAGTTTCCTATTACTTTTCTAAACTACTAAAGGTGTCAGAACAAGAGCAACCCACAATAAACACAGATGAGTCAGGTTATTTGCATTTTTATTGTTTTTACACTAAAGGGCATGCATCGTTTTTTACTAGGTTTAGTAACACTTGGATTTCCAAATACTCAGAGCCCAGTCTTGTTTTCCTTTGGCTAAATAAAAGTCCAGCAGGACTGAAAAGCCTCTCACAGGCAGTGGAAGCAGGAAGAGGGGTGATTCCCAATCAGAATTTTAGCCCATGTAAAAAACTCACTTTATGGGAAAGGACCTGAGCAGATCAATGTTGCCTACTGAGAAGATCAAATGTCTTTCCAGCTATTTTCTACATGAAGACATCATAGAAGCAAAAAAGTCTTGTTCGGCTGAGGAGCTGCTTTGTGGCTCATTGGTACACATGGTACAGCATGGTATAAGCCTCATCGATTGCCTGTGATAAAGATAGATTCACTCTTATTCATGATAGATCATTCTTATTCAAGCTGTCTTGAACTTGGCAGCAAGATAGCAGATGAGATCAACTCTGGGTCCTAAATCATATTGCCAGAACGCCACTTAATGGCCCCCTGATGTCACGCCCTTTGCAGCCAGAGGGTGCTCCTTCTCTGTCCTGTCTGTTGTTTCCGGTGCTTTGCTGTCCTTCCGGTGTTTCTCTCTCTCTGGGACTAGATATTTCTAGGTCTTTCATTACGCTCTCCTGCCATTCCACGGTTCGTCCTTTCCGACATCTGTGACACCTGAGGGCATCTGCCAGTGGACAGCTTGATCCTTTCCAATTTGGAGTCTCAAACACAATTTCTTCATCTACTCTTTCCTCTCGTTCTCAGTATTGTGTTGTCTGCTGGATGAGCCTTTTCAGAAAACAACATGGTTTGTGGTTGGGCTTCAAACCAGTACGTCACGAAAGCAAGCGGACACTTTGTGAATGCACATCTGATTTACCCAATCAGAATCCTAGCCCATGGAAATACCAAGAATAGATTCTAATTCAGGAATGAGGAATGGAAATGCTTCTGGAAAATGTAGTGGAGTAAAAATACTATTTTTTCTAAACCAAAGTGTTTGAGTAAAAGTATCCTAAAGATAAAATAACTAAAGTATGGATCAGGGACAGTAGTACGTAGGTACTGTAGTGTAGCAAAGTATTTCTGCTATATTTCATCATAGCCTTGGTTTGTGAGAATGTTCCTTGTGTGATATTTTTTTCTTGTATGTTGACAGTGATATCTCATGGTAGCTGCCCGAGGAATAAAAGGCCATTTTTAATAATTCTCACTGTCTTGCAGGTGCACTAGTGGTTCTGTGAGATGCAAAAACCTATTGCAGGGAGAAGGGTCGTAGCACCTTACAATTTGCCTGGTGGAGGCTAGTTGGCTACAGTTCCTGCATATTGGGGTCACTACTGTGACATCAGTAATACAATTTTTCTGTGCCCTACAAGAACAGTAACTTGACATTTGTACTTGAACACCCTGATAGTCTTTTTTGATAACTGGTACATACAGGTTTAAGACTCAAAAGAATGTTCTTTTGAGAGAGAAATATGTCCTGTAGGACATTATATTGTCACATTATGGGAATCTATGGGATATGTCACTCTCCATCTGGAAAGTGCAATAATGACAAACTTAGCAAACAGGACAGATTAATTTCCCTAAACAATAAAATCCGTCCTGAAATTATATTTAAATGTTTAAAATCTTTTTTACCAAAATTACCAAAACAAAAATATCAAGCAATAACATTTTTCATAGTCAGGTGGAATGGAATTAAGCTCTACAGGTAACAAGTCAACACAGCTTCACACAAAAGCCAATAACCACTTAAAAATGTACCATTCTGATTTGCTATTTAGAAGATGTGAACTCATCTGACATCAATGAGATGATATGAGACAATGAAATCGATGAGACAATAAAATCTGAGCAATGTTAAATATATTATGTTGCAACATGTAAAGTGATGACACTTACCGTATAATGTTGCCTAAGAGAGAGAAGTTTATTGCAATAGTTCTGTTTAAACATTTCCACAGAATGCCTATTGCCCAGCATTGACGTAGAGTGGTATTACTGCGTTTTGATACAGCTCATATGTCATATTCTTTTCAATTGACCTTCAATGAGTTCAAGCGTTTAACTTTTTTATTAAAAAGCAATCTTGAAAGAATATTTTTATTTATTTTTTATTATTTCTGAATGGAGATGCATTATCATAACAAGTTAAGTGGGGAGAAATTGAAAAAGAAACATTTAAAGAGAATTTATACAATAGATAAATTTCATTTAATCCCCAAGTGTTAGAGAAAAATGAAGGAAAAAACATAAATATCGACTATAGGACTGAGCTACTGATGTCGTACATTTTTGCTGCAGTTCTCATCTACATGTGATATACTTTCAAATTTTTAGCTCAAATTGTGGGTTAGCTTATATGAGGAATGTAACAGTTGAACCATATCTCCAAACTCAATTTAAGCCAATACTGTAACAGTTGTATTGTTTTCACTTACAGCCATGGCATATGGGTAATATTGATAAAAAGTTTTGTCAAAAGTTTATCGGTACACTTGACATGACCAGCACAGTAATTCTCATCAACATGAGAAATTAAAAATACCAGCAAGAGAAAGTTTTTTCCTTACATTTCTGTCCATCCAATACCAGAACACCATTTAGTCTCAGCAAGGCTCACATGAGTCTGGAGCTCATCTCTGAATCATAGGGCACAAGGCGGAACTGTACGCTGAGTGGGATGGACATCAGTCCATTTTAGGGCGTGCACATAAGCACAAGCACACAAAGTCAATTAAAAGACACCAATAAGCCAAACCAGCATGTATTTTAGGAGGGCAGATTCCTGTACATCCATTGAAAATAAATGCTTACAGTTATATAGCGCTTTTCTGGACACTCCACTCAAAGCACTTTACAGGTAATGGGGACTCTCCTCCACCATCACCAATGTGCAGCATCCACCTGGATGATGCGACAGCAGCCATAGTGTGCCAGAACGCTCCCCACACATCAGCTATGAGTGGGGAGGAGAGCAGAGTAATGTAGCCAATTCATTAGAATTATTAGGAGGCCATGATTGGTAAAGGCCAATGGGAAATCCACAACAACATGGGGATATACAGTATGCAAAACATTGGGGCAGACACCCCAGTATGGATGCAGGACCCTGGAGCTTAGTGACAGCAGCACTAACACCCACACCACCACTACCATTGTGCTGGCCTTGCTCCTCCTCCTTTAGTTAATTTTAAAAATGTAAAGGTGCCAATTAAGGTATAGAAAATGTAGGTATGGAAAACTTTGCACTTAAGGATGGTTTGGGGTTTGCTCATTTTGGAACAAGAAAAATCGCGGGAGAATCTCAACGGGCACAAGGCAGGGTACACCCTGGATAGACACCAGACCAACCCCCAGCACACACAGACAAAAACACACTCACACCAGGATCAATTTTCCCTGAAGCTAATTAACCTGCTGTACTAGTGTGTTTTTAGATTTCGGGATTGTGGGAAACTGGAGCAACAGGAGTAAACCCACTTGAACACAGTTAGAACATTAAAACTCCAGACAGAGCCCCAGGTCCCCAGGATGTCATTGTGAAGATTTTAATTTGTCCAGTCCTGGCTCAGAAATGTGCTCTAAAGACCTTCTGCTTACATACAACAAACACTAGTTCTGAAAAAAAAGAGCTCCAGTAACTGCATGTCAAAGGCCTGTTTTGTCAGCAAGATTGTGGTACAGAGTGTTTTGAATTCATTGCATTCAAAATAATAACCGTGGCCGTATATTGCTATTACCAGAAGAGAAGTCATTAAATGGACTTATTAAGGTTATTATAAATGGAAAGAAAATCTAATTGTTTTAGTGTGATAAGTATTTCATCTTCTGCAATGAAGCAAAGGGTAGGTACCCCAATATGTCTGTGTCTTTGTTTACCAAGTTTTATATAGCTGGGCAGCCTTACAGTACATATTATTGACAGGGAACCCTGGAGTTCCAAACATGGATGTGTACCCAGGATAAAATGAAACTCTGTCTTAAAAATGTGGATTGAGGATGAAACATAATGTTTTTGCAGGTTATATAATAAACTATAGCAATACTATTTTGGCATTTTACTATTTTGGCCTTCACTGTGTTGTGACGTCCTGGAATCACAAACTAAGTATGCTTTTCCCCTTTCCCATAAGTGACTTAATCACACCACAAAAAGTCAGCTATGGAGATTAAACATGAGATATTTCAGAAGGATGTGCACATTATTTGGTTTGCCTTGCAATTTTACAGTGTCCAAAGTTCCAGAGTCTTGAATCCCAAAAGATCCTGGTGTGAAGCCAGCAGGGAGATTGGCAAAAAATGCACTTTAATCAGCTACATCCACGACGAGAGGAGCCACGTACTCTGAGTGTCGGACTCCAAACGAGAAACTGGGAGGTTTGTTTCTCGTAAATGTTACCTTTGAAGGCAAATTCAAATAAATTGTATAAGTTATACATTACATTAACGCATTCAGACTAAACAAAGCAAATTTTCATCATCAATGAAAGCACATCATCTTGACCATTCTGTGTTCATTCTTTACAACATTTCTCATTTTGTGTACACATGATCATACTGTATGCCCTTACTGATACTGCTTAGATGTGTAAGGCTTGTTTTGCTTGGAGTCTTTCGCAAAAGTACTTTTTGGTTCATTAACTATTTCTGTTAATTTGTTTACCTGCTATTTATGATTTATGATTTATTTATGATCTCATTAAATACTATCTGTTATTAGTTGACTGTTTTCACAGGCAGTGTTATAGACTTGGCAAAACACTGTGAGGATGAAGAGAGCTTTCATTGGCTGGGCTACTCTTACCTTTCCTGGCAACAGTGACCTCATGGGATGTACAGTCACTGCACGTTTGCAGTGTTGTCTGTGAGAGACACAACACTACAGCAACCGGTTCTAACTTTCAGGTACTGTCGATTTCAAACTGTGGCTCAGACAGCTGGGCTTGTCACAGGAGTGTGTGTACAGCCCTTCTTTTTACGTGCAGGATTGTAGCAGAAAGCCTAACTGATTACCACTGGCTGATTCTAAATGGGGATGGGGTAACTGACACTATCAACTGACAATTCCAAATGTTAAGAAGCAAAGACAAAAAAATCTGAAAAAGAGCTACTTCACATTGAACTTCAGCATTATTTTTAACTTCCAAATAAACAAATGGGACCAGCTTTTCACTGTAACAGTTATGCAGGCTTGCATTAACAGTATTATTGTCATTCACCTGTTCAGGACAATGAGCGCCAGGTCCTGGTTTCTGGGTGGTGTCCCCTGGCATACTGTTGCGTCCCGTCATGCTGTATTGAGGAGGTTTGTACTTGTACATGCAGGGCTCTACGATTTTGTAGGTCCCTGGCCCAGGAGTCTGAATGAGAAAGTGTTCATTGTCTAGTCATATATAATTGCTATCAAACTCCAAAAACATTTCAAACTCTGATTTGATTCCCTAATGAGAGAGCACCTGTCTATTGTACACAATTACTAGCATAAACAGGTTGCATATCAGATATTCATATATATGATGATATACATCAAAATAAACTTAAAACTAACACCTGCGATCAATTCACAAAGGAAGAAGGTGCACATTATATTGAACTGATGCAAATAAATTCATTGTGCTGATTAAAAATTGGTCATCATCGGAGGTGATCAACACGGGTATCCTGTGAAACCCAATGACTAAGTAATGTATGGCCACCAATGGAAGCAATATAATGATTACAAAAGAGACGGGGTTGTATGTACAGAATGAGCTGTACATCTACAATGATTGCTTTGCACCAGGTTGCAGGTTACTATCTTGTAAGATTCTGTCCTATTCCTCTTTTAAAACCTGGACAAGTACATGTCTGTGCACTAGTCTCTGACCCCTAGATGTCACTTGTCAGCCCAGATCATCCTACAGATAACTAATGGGGCTCAAGATCAGAATTTAATCAGTATACAAAATGCACAAATTCTTAAACTTCTAAAAGCATATATGCATACGTGATGTTTCATCTGATAATTTGTATACTAATTTTAAAAATACATACTATAGATAAGTCACTGCTTTCTGTTTGTCATTGATGGGGCTAGTAAATTGAACTTTGGAAAACAGATGTGGTGGCAAAAATGTGGACTGAAGTAATATTTTATTTGTATAGATCTTTGCATATCATGGAATTACCATGATGTTCTTCCTGCCCAATACATCAATGTTCTTCAAAAACATGTTATATTTTATTAGTCACCTGTCCAATGTATTTTAATGGAAGATAGTGTTCTCTCACTCCAGGTTTCCTAATCTCATCCACACAAAGTATAACTGCATTTCTTGATGAGCTGAACTATAGCCTTAACTACATCCCTGAATATTTCTTTTATTTCAGAAGCCATTAAAAAACATCTGGAAAATGAAATTCATAATTTTAACCTTTTGAAGATCCTCATGAAAGCTGCCAATCTTGCTCCTGCCAGTCAGGGAGAAGTTGGGAGCTGATGTTTTGTTCACTGTCTTAGGGCCCAACACAGGTGGAAGCATATAGGCCGCAGGTCCTGAACGGTAGAACAAACAATATTAGGAACATCTTTGTATTTCACACATTTTTTTATATTGCTGTACTAAATATTTACATTTTTTCTTGAGATTAAGAGTTAAATACAATTTCATATATGCTGAATCCAGCCCCTGATTCAATACAGGCATTCAGCTGTGTAACGGTGAGTCTGTTCTGTAGGTTTTGGCTGTGTTATTATTTCACCATTTTTCATCAACATGGATGCTATACCCCAAACACAGAAAAAACAGTGACACTAAAAAATCAGATAAGACTAAAACTAGAAAAACAACATATGGGGAATGATAATAAGCTTATAAATATATAGTATATATCATTTACTTATGTATTTATTACTGAGCACATGATCAATTCTATTTGACACTGTAGAATGCAAATACAATTTAAATTTAATTAAATTTACAAATGGTGTGTATCAAATGGAGCATTAATATAATACCCAGACTCTCGTTCTCTCGTTTCAAACACTAATAAACTAGATAGCATGGGATGGAGTGATACAGAAACTGAGTGAACAAAAATCACAGCAGTATACCCTATTCAATATTTTAATTAATTACCAGGTCAATGATGACAGTTGGTGGCAATTGATGATGAACTGCAGGTCTACCCTGCTCTCAAACAAATGCTTAATAATTTATAATAGGGGACCCAAGATGATGTGGATTCTCATTTTGACACAGAAAGTATTGAGCGCTTCTTAATATGTGGGGTTTTTACATTATCATGTTTAAATTATACAGACTTTTGTTGATGGTGTTCCAATGTAACAATGAACAGAGCACAGATGGTCAAAATAACACTGTTTAGATAGAATGCCATACACATCAAGCTGATTTTACTCTTCAGCCTCAAATACCGTTTCATTGTATTTCATAATTAATCGTTTGTGGTGTGTTTTGTCTGGTACACTCATGCAATACCAATTACAAAATGAGACACAGATCAGAAATGGGTGTATCAGAGGATGCCTCCCTTCCCTAATATCCAAGTGGTTGATGTCATAGTGACACAAAAGCTGCAGTTGTGCAACCTGATGAATGTGACTCTAAATATTCCAAATATAGAGGTACAGTCCTGTATGATAATAATCAGGTTTATGAGTAGGCTGTGATGGCCTAGTTGTGCTAGGAGTCATAATGTATCCATGAAGTGACCCTTTAAGTGCAATAACCATGTTGTTGAGTTGTTGCATATGGTTCACTAAGTGTGGATTAATCATTTATTGTCTGTTGGTGGTGCTACACGGATCTAATAGTGGACAAATGAACTTTGAACCTCTAGCAACTTCATGTCACAATGTTCATAGGAGTAGCTTTCCCATATTTCTTTAAGCCTGGTGTGAGTGTGTGTGCATTTGTGTATGTTTGTCTGCCCTACGATGGACTGGCATCCCACCCAGGGTGTGTCCTGCCTTGTGCCTGTTGCTTGCCAGGATAGGCTCCAGCTCCCATAGGACCCTGAATTGGATGAAGTCGTTAAGAGAATGGATAGATAAAAATGGATGTATTGTGAGTCCGTGTAAGGATGTGCGCATGACCTTTTCCAAACTCAAAATCTCAAGCATGCATGCCTTGTCAATAACGGGTTTTATAAATCTTGTCATTTCTTCCCTCCTTAGCTCATTAGGATGGCAAATACTAGAAAATAGTACAAGTTTCTACAAGCATGTTACATCTTCTCATAACAGGCGAATCAATTTGGCAGTGTATTTAATACGAGTGAAAATTCTGTGCTATGCAGTATTTCTGAAGTGTTTAGCCCAGACTCTGTATATGTACAATAGCAACCTGGTGTTTGGTCATTGCGGAATCCCTTGGTTCGGGCTGAGAGAGAGTAGGCAGGAGCAGAATAATATGCAGATTTTCCTGACCTTTCTGGAGAGTAACGGCCTGAAAACAGAAATCGGAAATGTTAACTCTTTTTTTACAAACATGATCATACAACTAATGGGTATTAGGATTCCAACAATGTTCTCCTAAGCTAAGTCATTGTTTTAAAGACACATCTCATTAGATGTAGCACCTTATGTTTACCGTATGTCAACTTACCTAGCAATTCAACAATCAGGTCATTATAGCAAAGTGAATGGGAATATCTGTGTACCATTTTAAAAGTTTTGTTTCTGTTAGCAACAGAACATGGCCTGACTTGGAGTTGCATACAGCCTTTGAGGTGCAGTTGAGTAATATCTTTGAATTGGTTGGAATATGGTTGGACATCAAGTAAAAAAAAGTCAGTAAAAAAGAACAATCATTCTAATCATATTTTTCGCTGACTCTATTTTAAGAATTAATGGAACGAATTTACAGTTACCAATGCAATGATATTGTCATACTGTATATAAGTAAAGTATTAAACTTAAACTAATTTTAAAAAGAATAACATCCATTCCGGTGGTTTGAACAGGCCACCATCCCTGGGTTAATATTGTGGAATAAGGGAATATACCTGGCCCTGGGGTCTGGAAGAGTACTAGATCTCTGGGACGCCCATAGACTGAATATGCTGGCGTGCCATCCCTTCCTATCCTAGTGATGTTAGGTGGGACTAGGTATCCAGGCCCAGGAGAGCAGTCATTGGAAAACTGACAATGACGAGAACCGAAGCTGAAGGCAGGTGCCTTGTACTTTCTCGGATCGTGATACACAGTTCCTGGAAAAAAAACATGAAAAACAAGAGCCTTATTACAGTAAACACACATGTACAGTATATAAAGACAAACTTATTTAGACAACTCCAGTAAGTTCACAAAGACTACTGGCATCTTCTGGTGGTAAGCACTGCTGAAAAATGAATGGCATTAATGCTTAAAAACTGAGTGGGTGGCATTGACATTTAGCATTTTTGGGATTGTAGCATTGCAGAGAATTTTATATGTGAGAGTCCTGGGAAGCTGGCTTTTAGGACTCTTTCGCTGGTCAAGACATCAGTGGGGTTCATTTTCAACGATCGACTGAGTGCTCCTTCAGAGAGGGATGAATTCCTCACTGCTTTCTGTCCTTGTGTTCCTCATAGAGATTTTGTTCCAGATATTGAGTGGACTGCTGCTCTTACCCACATAGAAAGCTAACTCTTAAATCCACCTCTCTTTGTTTTGGTGAAGTAAATTGCACTGATTTGTTTTTTCATGGATGAAACCATGGTGACATCCCAAGAAGAAATAGGTGTGTCTTGTTTTGGTAGACAAAATCTCTATAAAAGCTTGGACTGAGGACAGAGGTTCCTTTGTTTCTTAAATGAATAAATGACTAAATGTGGAGTCTGTCAGCTTTCTGAAGACTTTCGAAAAGTCTGTTTTCTTACCTGTAGTGCCTGGAAGGGCATATTTTGGACCAGGACTGCTGTATAATGCTGCAATGGGTCCTCTTGGCCTGTGAGGTCTCCAGGGTCCTACCCACACATCTGTTGACATTTCTTTCTATACAGAGTATCTAAACAAAACACAAAGGTGTGTTGTGTTGCTTTCTTTATACATTTACAGTTGAAAATGTATTCCTTTCAGTTACAATGAAATACACCATATTACAGAAGGAAAGTACAGTATATGGATATGCTGGGTAGTAAATGTTAAAAAATACTGATACACCTCTTACACAGCAGAAAATTGAAACTGGTGAATTTTCCCAACATGTTAGGAGGAAATTTCCCAGATGTTAGAAGGAAAAAACATTTTGTATCAGTGCAAAAACAGCTGTTTCAGACAAGCATAAAAGGTTAGTTTTCTTTATTGAATGACCAAGCAGGTTCTCTATGGGGGCAATGGACTGAGGCAGAGTTTACATTTGGAAGCAGGATATCTGTTTCAACAGATGAAAACCTCGTCTAGCACTTTCACACTGCTTTCACTTCAAAACTCTCACACATTAGTGCCACTTGCAAATAATTGTGCAAATGCATTGTGCAGCAAAGGTTTCTTAGCAACGCCCCTGCTGTGTACCAATACAAATGGTGTAAAACTCAAACAAGCCCCTGGCCAACCTAGAACTACATTTATGGAAGCTAAGTAGGTTTTTATAATTTTGAAACCTTCATAAATATATCACGGAATCAAGGAAAACTTTACTTTGCTATAGCAGTTATACCAACATTCATGTGAAAAAAGCCACTATAGATAACTTTATTTATGATATTATTATAATTACAATCATTCTTTTGAAGATAACAGAAGACGTGGCGATGTTTGTTTTTAGTTATATTGCTGAAATCATGTCTACTGCTTTATATGCATTTATGTGTTTGATTTCTTGTATAGCAAAATATTTTCTATAATAACCCAGCTATTGCATCATTAAGATGCACTACAATACAGTGTGTGCACATTTCTTCACTGTCCAATTTTCAAGATAGTTTTTATTATTATTTTTTAAAATCTCTTTCCCTCCTGTTTTTCAATGGATTTATAATTCAGCCCTGGAAAATGTTTTGTATCTGTTCTTTGTTTGTGGTTTCCTTGGCAATGGCTGACACTAATCTTGGGAATTAATTTAAGCCACAAGTGTTTTCAAACTTACCATCCTTTTCAGTCTAATTGTTACACAGAATTTCTTTCACATCCATATTTTGAGCAGTATGGGAGCAGACATACTGTATTAGGACTGTATACTGTATATGTACATTATATAAGCAAACTTTCTTTTGGATAAATGAAAAAAACGTTTTTCATCATGTAAAGGTATTTTTTAAATATTTTGCATTACCTGTAGTCTTTCAGTCACAAAGTGCAAAAGTAGGTCTATAGTTTTATAATAAGACGTTTCCTGAGACCAGCAACTTTTAAGCCTGTCCTTTTATTTAATTTATACTGCATCTGCTATTTAATGTGCAACCCAATGCACATGTATATTTTTTATATTTTAGATATATGTATAGTTTGTTAACACTTTCATATCTTATATAGCAGTACTTGGTGCAATCTGGCAAAGATTTATTTGCCTTAAATAAAATGTATTTATAAAATTAATACCATTTTTCTTTAATTATTATCTCCGTTACTAAAATGCCGATATTTCTTTTTCCACCTGGGTAGAAAGCACCCTTGGGATCCGTAATTGCATAACATTAAAAACACAGCTCATGATGAAATATTGCGCATTCTAATCTGATTAAAAAGTCGCAAACCTGTCCTTCTTTGTGGATCTCTGCAGCACAGCTCTGCAGGCCGTCAGCTCAGCAGCACGTGGACTGTTCTAACACAAGTAACTAATTGTTTATATATCCCGTCTCTAGGCAATGATACTCAGGTTCACTATGACAACGTTGTCATAGTAACATAAACTTTTTGTCATATGTGAAGTTATTAATGGGAGTTATTATCATTTTTGTTCTTGTCACCGTCCTAATCATCGCCCCTACCATACAAAAAATAAAGATTTTCCCCAGTTATCGTGCGTGGTGCCAGCTATCCAGTATTGTAAATAAAAGTGCAAATCTAAATAGTATAAAGTAGACCTACTTTCCGAAATTAAAGTAGTCGTTTTTATTATTTTTATTTTCTTATTATTTGTATTAAGTGGGACGTCTAATGTATCTTCTATCCTTTTTCAATTTTAAAAATACAAAATGTTATATAAACGTATTGCTCCCTAAAGAATGTGGCAGGGGGCATTGTGCTACAGAGATACTGTATACTTACTAATACTATTATTCATAATAATAATAATAATAATAATAATAATAATACGCAGTCATTTGTGTAGCTGAGCACTCTTCTGATAAGTGCGTAAAATCATTAAAGAAGAAGGTGACAGCTGTTAAAGCACCGATTATAACACACTCTGTATTATCATCTCCACTGGTTAATATACAGTAAGACTTGGAAGATTTCCCTAAATTCTCATAAATTACGAGCTTATCTTTCTTGGTTAAAGATAAACTTTTTAATGAGGAAATAAAAACAGTTTTGCACCTTGAAGGCAGTAAAATTGGATAAGTACTGTATGCACTGGATCGCCGACCACACCAGTTCTCTGTTTTCACCAGTACCTTAGTTCTCATTGGCAGAAAATATTGATTGCCTGAAGGTTTGCTATTATTCATGACGTCTGAAAAGTAATTACTAAAAGTACTTCATGCAAATATTTGGTGCCTTCTCGCAGAGCATATTGAAACGATAAGCAGCTAAGAATTATTTTTGAGCAACATGCTATACATGTATACTGGGCAACATGTCCGATTCTGCTTACGTACAGCCCTGCTATATACTGTTAATATACAGTACAGTACTGTTAATACTTGGATTGGCTTAACAGTATTATTATACTCATTTAAAACAACTGATTTCAGATGTACGCCCCGTGTCTTTTTACGGTTTTCGGAGGGGGCTGGTACATGACTGCTATTTAAAAAAAGAGCAAAAACTAAATAACATTAAATATGTTCTAGGTAAAGAATGTCATTATACATCTTACTATGTAAATTCTTTATAAATGGTAATACACCAGTTTGGGTCAAAATGAAATAAATTCACCGATAAAAAAAATGAAAAGTAAAGTGATGAAATATTAGCTAGGGGTAAATTAGTTTTTTCTGAGGACGAAGCTAGCTGGGCGTATGACTAACCTTTGATATTCGTTCAGTATACGAATAACATGCTAGTTGTGAATTACAGGACTCCGCAGTAATCTTTCACAACAGCTACAGCTGTCAAAGCAAACTGAATTATTTCACACTATTCACTTATCAAGAGCCGAAAACTCCCATCACAAGCTTCCATCACCGTTCCTGATTTTCACTATAGTGGTTGGTAATGTGGACGAAATTTGCGATTTTATATTTATTTATACAGGGTACGTAATGCGCACGCAGGTTCTGAGGGTTGGAAAAGTAAAAAAAGTGTTGCAACCTCCGAACACCACAACTTTGCCAAGGACAGTGGGCCCATTCCGAGGTTGGGGAAGGCATTGCAACAAGTTCGCTCTCGGGAACAGAGTTCTCAATTGCCCTCTGAAAAAAAAAAATCTCTCAACGTTTTACTGGGAACAATAAATTGCGCAGGAAAAAAATTTAATTTAAAGAAATATACAGGATTACCTCCACCACGGACAAAGTTACCATCTCTATGTGGATTGTCGTTAAATAATATTGTTTTGTTGTTTTTTTGTATTCTTCTTTAAGTAATTTTGTTCATATCGTCACGATGCCTGAAGTGAATATTCCCGAGATTATCAAGAAGAAGAGGGACGGGGAAAAACTGAGCAACGAGGAGATACGCATGTTTGTGCGCTCTGTCACTGACCGCACTATACAGGAAAGCCAGATAGGTACTTGTCGTCTTTTACTAGCATTAATGAACGTTCTGAGACTGCAGACTCAAACGTTATTATTGTGTTGTACGGTGTGCTGCTCAAATCTGATGTGGTAAATGTTAAACTGCTTTCTTGCTTTAATGTGATTTTCTATGATTTGCTAGCTCTTAATATTCCACTAAACTATACGGTGATACACAGATTCATTAAATGTTCATAAGGTTAACATCCCACAAGCCTAGCGTAGTTTTGTTGTGGTAAATCTGGAGCAGTCTCGACAGCAGTCTTTTGCGGGCAGTTCTACGTTTTGTGGTCAGGTGCTGCTCTCACTATGATATCTAAATTCTGTTCCTGTAGAAAATAATAAAGAATACAGAGTATTCTCGGTGTAGCAATTCTGACAGCCTTTTGACAAAATATCTGTGGTCTTTTACAAAGTACTGATATAACCTGAATATTTATTATATTTTAAATGATTTCTACGCGCCTCCATTCAGTTAGTGCCTTATGAATTGAAACTTAAACATCTCGTTTAAGTTCTAGTGAAATATAGTCATACAAAGTATCCACTGATAAATGCAATGGGAGATCGGGCAGTCTGTGTTATACCGTGGCACACATGAGGGTAACCTGCAGCAACAGGTTACTGGTAACCACATAGTCACTCTAGGAGGAATGTTTTGGACCCATGTTTCAAACTGAATGGGAGCAAGGGTGGAGATAGAAACAGCATCGAAAAAGCGCTGACCGAGTCAGCCGTCTGTCTCCAAAACAGCTGTCAAAGCCAATGATGCAATACCAACCCCACCAAAAGAATGTAAGAAGTGTTCATGAACCAGACAAGTAGTTCTTGGATGTAACTAACCTTCACTGTGAAGTAAATGTGAGTTACAGTATGCTTAACTACAGAATTATCAAGAATATTAAGTCATGCAGTGGAATTCACACCGAATTGGAATTTGATTCCATGGAATTAGGAATTAGGAGGTCTCAGTTTTGTAATGAAACTAGCTGACTTACAGCCTGTAAGGCTCTGTGAGTGTAGGATAACAGATGCATGCTGAAATGATGGAGAAGTGGCTGTTAGGTATTTTGCCAGGCTCAATGGGATTGTAATGTGTGTCACCCGGTGTGTCTTGTTGTCTGGGGCTATATATTTCTGGATCTCCCTATCCCCCTGGCACGGCATTGGGATCGGATGTCATGAGACTTGCCTCACCAGGTCACCCCACGTCCGGTGCCTGAGGGCTCTCATCTCTTTTCCCTAACTCCACCTGATACCTCGAGCCTGGAGCAAACCCCTTTGTTTGTGCCATTCCTGCCGCTATGCATAGGATCTTCCTGTTCTGCCGGTCTTCCTCTGGCTTCCATGACAATGTTCTGTAGAGGATCAGGGTGGACAAGCTGGACCAGGGCTGATAGGGGTGGCAGATGGAGTTTGGCCAACTGGTCAGTATAGAAGCATGCTTTCTCCTTATTGATGTGGGTTGGGGGACTAGATGGCACAGGTGGAGTCTTAAGCACTCCCTGGCTTTAATATCAGACAGACAAGTGACCGTGGATTGTAATTGAAGAGAAAGCATCAAACTGGCTCCTACTGTGTCAGAGTTGAAGCTTTCATTTTTTTAAAGAGCACTGAGTCACGGGAGCCGGTCCTGACTCCTGAGCAGTGCGTATTCTGGACCCTATGCAGACGATGTAATCCTGAAGTGACTGGAATAAGACTTCAAGGGAAACACAGCATGGAGGAGGAGGGGATGACAGACAGGGGGGCATGACGGCTGCGATCTCATGCTCAGGGGGCGTGGCACAGGCAAACAAGTCCTAAGGTAGTCCAAAGGGGAAACCGGGGCGCAGTCCTGGAGCCAGGAGATCCAATCTGAGACAGACAAGATTAAAACCGGAATGGGAACCGGAACAGGGACAGGGAAACAGTAATGAGGCCAGGCGCTCCGAGCCCCGGACTCAGCAGGTCAGGATGCTGTGATGAAGCCTATGCCGTCGGGTCTCTCCTGGACTCGCTGGTAGTCGGGCTTCCGGGTGTCCGTCTTCCAATGCAGAATAGCAGGAGCGCCAGGCTTTAAATAATAACAAGGAAAACCAGGGACAGGTGCACAGTACTGACATAATCATCTACAGAACATAACTGATCACAACCCATCAGGAAATGTTATACTGCAAAGTTTGGAACATACTAGGCAAATACATTTATAACGCTGATAATTAAAACGCTATTCAATGCACGCACCAGTTTGTAAAGAGTATGATGTCTCTCTAAAGAGTGTATGTCTTTTGTATCAGCTAATTTACAGTGCACTTCTGCTTGTTGTTTACTATGTACAGTATTTCGCTCTGATGATTTGTATTTCACCCATGCAGATACATTTGCCACTATTAAGCAAGCATCAGATATATACAGCATCTGAAATAATACCTTACTCATTTATCATACAGTACTTCCACTTTCTCATGGCTTCTTACTATTCAGGGTTGCAGGGGAGCCAGAGCCTATCCCAGCAAGCAACAGGCAGAAGGCGAGATACACCATGAACAGGATGCCAGTCAATTGCAGGGCACACACAGACACCAACATGCACATACTCACAACCTATTTTCCTAAAAGCCAGTTAACCTACCAGTATGTCTTTGGACTGTAGGAAGAATCCAAAGCACCTGGAGGAAACTCATGCAAACATGAGGAGAACATACAAATTCCACACAGATAGCACCCCAGGTACGGAGATGATACCAGGTCCCCATCACTGTGAGGCAACAATGCTAACACCTGCACCACTGTGCCGCTCTTATCCATTTATTTTATTTACATATTTATTGCTTAACACACACCCATCTCTTGGGTGGTTTGCAATCCACATCTAAAATTTGCATTTGGCAAATCGTGCATGTGCAACAACACAGCTAGCAAAATAAGGTTAGAGCAAAGCTGAATGTGCAATGCAAGTGTTGTTCTAGTTACTTTTTAAAAAAGAATGCAGATAGATTGGATACCAAACAGTCATTGTGGCACAGGATGTATTCCATTTGAGTATTTACAGTGGAAAAGAGTATTCAGTACATCACATTGTCAGATTGTAATACTTTTTGTCAATGAGGAGCAAGGGTGGAGAATGGCCAGGTTCCAGGAGTGGGAGGGTGGTGTGGAAACAGAAATTCTTGCAGAAGAGGAAGAGCAGAGAGGGGAAGGGAGGTTTAGGGAGAGATTTGGAGCTGAAGATGGACAGTGTGACACCACTGAGGACATAGCGGTTTAGCAATTTCTAATAGGCAGACACACAGACAGCAATTTGGTAAACAAAAAAACTGTGCTCTTTATTCACAGTGCCATTAAACTCCATCCAAAACCCCTTGCTCTCACTACCCTTTTCTCCAATAGTCCTCTCCATCAATAGCTGGGCAGATCTATACAAGCTCTATGGGTTCCATGTTCGGTTGGTCACTTCCTCTTCTTTCTGTCTTGTTCATCACATAAGATAAAAACTGATCCCTTGCTTACACATCAGAAAAAGACGAACAACAAGCCTCCACTTCATGGTTTTCCACTTTTCTTTGTAACTTTATTCTTGCTTTTAAATTAATACCAGTGTGCAGTAGGCCTGTCATCCAGGACCTGTGATCTGTAGTTCCGTGTCCATTTTTTTAATTCTGTTTGAGCTGAATTCAGGAATTCTCTGATTTACAATACATCGTTCACTAGTCGTCTGCTGCCAGTGGTTGATGTCTGACCAGAGGGAGACGTCCCCACAATGGAGTGGAAAATACACCCTAATGAGCTATTGTCACGGGTGTTGTTAGGTGCCATGCTGATGGCAATATGGCAAAAGGGCATGACGCATGAGGAGACCATGGCTCTGACTCGGGAGATGACCCACTCTGGACAGGTGCTTCAGTGGCCTGCCGAATGGCGGAACCTAGTGGTGGACAAGCACTCTACTGGAGGTGTGGGAGACAAGGTTAGCCTGCCCTTGGTGCCTGCATTGGCAGCCTGTGGCTGTAAGGTAAGGAGACCCATAAGTGTGAAAACAGCATTTCAACTGTTGTCTGTAGTGATCTCTGCTGTTCACTCAGGAGAAATCATGTCATTTGTTGCCAATCTAGATGCAAGATTTTCAAGAGAATACATAAAGGAATAGATACTGTAAACCCTATTGCTACTGTAATTACACCTCAATTATGTACACCTAAATAAGAACTTACTTCTAGGCTATTTTAGGCATTATGGGCTGTGTAGGTGGTAATGTGCCCTGTTAAAACTCCATACCTGCTGATGTCCAGTATGGAGGACTTTCTTGGTTTTATTATTCAGTATGCCCAAAAGAATGTTCTTTTCCATTATTTGAATGTGATTTTTAAGTGTATTAAGTAACTTTTTAAGTAACCGCAAGCTTGTGAGTTTTGGAACAAAAATGTGAACAACATTATTAATTAAATCACAGCACAGATACTTCTGGTAATCATTTATTACTTTTGAATAAGTATTTTATTAGTTGGTTAATATAAAGTGGCTCTCCACATTCCTATGGTGCAAATAAGAAGTTAATACCCTCTTCATAGCCAATGGAATTGGGGGAAATAATTCTATTGAAACATGCCACAATAAAATTATTTCACACAAGGCACTGGAGCCACATAAAGATCAAACAGTACTATCTGATAGCTGTTGGGTATCATAGAAACCTGACCTAAATGGGTAAATACTGTAACTGTTGTGTGCCCGACTGTACGTTTTCCATTACATACAGAGGACATTCGGAGATTCAGATCTTTACCCTGTGATAAATAAATTGTGATCCCAGTATCCCAGAGGAGTACCTTCCTATAAACTTTGTCTGATTTCTCAGAATTTTTTTTTTGCTTCCAATCAAATGTTTTACTCACACAAAGAACTACAAAAACATATAAACAGCACAAATATACATTACATTAAAAGTATAACATTACATAAAAGACATTAACCATTACATAGTTATTACACACCACTCATACTGGAATCCACAGATTACAGAACCTCCCACAAGGCCCTATTATTACACAATACAATTAGATGTATTAATGTGTGGATACTTGTTGTTCCAAGAAACAAATCAACATGGAGTGTAAATTCATTGAAAAAGTATTTTTCAAGCCCTGTCATGTCAAGATGGAGTGTTCCCATATGAAGCGTCTCTTCCCATAGAAATTCTCTTTGAGCTAAACTGTGTCTCTTTGTCAACATGGGGCAGGTACCCATGATCAGTGGGCGAGGCCTAGCCCATACTGGAGGAACTCTGGACAAGCTCGAGTCTCTCCCTGGTTTTAACATTCACCAAACACCAGCACAGGTAGGTGGAATTGTGTCCATAACTGCGTAAAAGAAAAACAGTATCTATCAGAAGCCATTCACTTGTTTGTGGTTTCTTATTTAGACAATGTGATTATTTACAATTGCTTTCAAAATGTATCCAGGGTTGTTTTGAATTGGCTGTGTGTGAAACCCCATATGGATATCACCAGAATGGAAAATGTGGGCACTCACACTTATAGTATATTGCTAAGATTTCGCAAACAGTACCAAAATGGTTAATGTGATAGAAAAGACGTTCTCAGTCTTCTCTCTGTTTTTTTTTTTACCCCGAAGTATATTTTCAACAATGTCAGTTAACTCCCTTATTTCTGACCACAAACTCTTAGTAGGCAATTTATTTATGACAACCAGAGACAGGTGTGAATCCTAATGTATCAATCACTGCCAAACTAAGAGTTTCCCCTTCTTCTCAAATCCACTTTGTTACAGTACAGCTACCACACCTTCATGAGAGGATTTTAGAAACACAGAAATTGGCACAAGGCTGATACAGTACCAGTTACATACCCCACATAACATCTTAAAAGCCAGATGAAAAATTTAAAAACATACCCACATTAGAAAAAATGAAATCTTGGAGAAATTTAGAAGAGACCATAGACCCTCCATGACAAAGATTGAGAACCACTGTACTGGACAGAGAGGCAATGTTGTGTAGAACTAAGGTGAACTGGTCAGATTTATGAAGATATATGTAATATATACTGTATAACATATAAGCATCATTATAGGCATGTCACAATTTGTCAGGAAACCATAAGTGCCAAAGAAATGGTGTTGAACGTTTGTAGAGGGAAGTAGAAATTGTGCCTTCATCTCAAAAAAGCATAAAGCACAACTGGAATGTGAAAATGTGGATGGACAACTGTTGCCACAGTCTCCTGAAAAAAGATGGAGGCTTGAGCATTTCGGGTAATAGTCTCACTGCCACAGCAATGACATGACGTCTCTGCATGAGAAGATTCAGGTCATTGTTAAGATCAGCTTTACCAGTTCCTAATATGGTCTTCACATAATTGGTAGAGGGTAGTGAAGATAGAAAATAGCCTTTTTCTCCTCCTTTGGCTCACTCCTTGCCGAAATTTAATCTCCTTACAATTATAGCCCGCTGCGGTTTTCTTACACTATCTTGAATGGTTTTGCAGCTTGCAGGTTTACAACATGCATTCCAATCTTTCGCACAGTCTTTCATACAGTCATTGTAGGGCAGAAGACACTCCCTTGAACAGGGTAGAGTTTACAGTGACATGATGATCAACATTATAGATGTCATCAATAGAGGTGGACAGTATTCACTGATGTGTTGGATACATTGCAGAGACTTTGATACATGACCATTATTCACATCTCTTAGACTGTTCAGGGTGTGTGACAGGATCCATAAGTACAGCATTGGGCTAATTTAGCCTTTGTTGTCTATTTAGCTGCAGAGGATATTAGATGAAGTTGGATGCTGCATTGTTGGGCAGACAGAAAACATTGTGCCCGCTGACAAGGTGCTGTATGCACTGAGAGATGCCACCTCCACAGTTGACAGTCTGCCACTCATTGCAGGTGAGTGGAAACCAGAACATTCTCATTTAATATATTAAACAAATATTCACATTTTAAAAGCATAAATGATACATATGACAAAATGTATTTTCTATGTTTTTTTCCTGGGTAGAAGGTTACACACTCACTTCTGCCAAATTAGTCATCATTATTTTCTGCTTAAATAGGCACACCTACAGTAAGTATATGCAGCATCATGCCAAGGGTGGGGTGGCACCATGTAGTCTGGAAATAAGATGGTCTCAGGGAAAACAGATAAGAAAGCTGCTGTCAGGCAGAAAAAACAGTCACGCCCTCTACTCACCGCATTCTCACACGGAAACACACCCGCACTAATTACACCCCAGCCCTGAACACTTCTGCCAAACGACACCGCCCCTGCAAATCAGCCAACCACGACACTTCCTCAATCAACGCACCTTCCTTCTTCACACAGTACTTAAACCCCTCTGAACCCTCTGCTCTTCACCTGGTATTGGTTGAACTTTAGTTCACCTGCCTTGCCTTCGTATCTCTTTGCCTTCTGACTCCTCGTTACCTACCACAGAACTCTACCTCGACTTTGCCTACTGTCTTGCCCCAAGGATTTGGAAAACTGCTCGTTGTTCTCCTCCTTCTGACCTCTGGATCTGCCTACTCAACTTCGACCCCAGCCTTGCCATTCTCTGGTTTGGGTACCTTCTCTCTTGCCTTTTTCTTCACAGACCTCGGAACCCGACTTGGACTCCGCCTCTCGTTTTACTCCTTAGGTACCGCAATAGGGACCATCCTCCCGTTACCTTAGCGGGTCTTCCTTGACAAACGGTCCTCTTTACAGTGCAGAGAAATAATCAGATCAACAAAAGCAAAAGCTATTTGAGCTTTGAACTAGAACTTCATTTACATCTTTCCCCTGGTTCGAGACCCTTCGAGTTTCCAAGGAATTCACATTGTGCAGTATGTTAAAGAACTGAGCTGTTTCAGAGGTAGCCCCTCATCTTTGGAATACTCTTCTTGGCCTTTTTAACTCACCTCAAAATGTACTTGTTTTCAGTGGCCAGTTTTTAATTTGTTTCTTTCACATTTGCAGTACATGAGGTTTTATAGTGTTTTTGTTCACCCTACTTTTTAAATTTTGAAACAAAATAAATAAAATGTACATTTATTTTAAAGTGTCTTGAAAATGCTCTGGATTGAAAGGAGCTCTTCTTATGTCCTTCTTTAAATTTAACTGGGCATCTAAGCTTCTTACCAGTGTCCACAAAGTCTCTTTCCAAGACTGTTCTCAACACTTTTCAAACTCTCACCCCCATAAAATCACAAAACTCACATCTATAGGTCCCACTACACTTCAGTACACTTTCTCCAGAGATCAGTTGCCAAACCACTTGAAACCTCCACTTCCTGGTTCTTTAAATCATTATTCAAAAGTTTGTCTTCCACGTTCTACAGGAATGTATCTTAGTTAGCAGCTTCCATCTTATCTTAACCTGCTATCCTTTCACAGTGCTTACTAAATTATTTCAAAAGCAACAACTGCCCCTCCCCAAATATAAACTGAAATTAGTTTTGTATCCTGGTGGAGAAATAACAGCTCTGCATTATTTTGTGGATGCCACAGAACCCAACTATCTTTATACTATAACCCTGTAATCTTTTAAAGGTATTTATAGTTTCACTTTGTAACTGCTTAATTCAAGCTTTATTGTCACATGGGGGAAACTGATTTATAGCAGTATAATACAAACATTACCAACAGAGAAGGCTGTACAATAATGTTACAGGCGATAAGAGGGAAGATCTTATCTATCACATCTATTAGAGTGATATCATGAGCGTACAAAATGCACAGTAGGGGGGACAAGATACTGCTATTGGGTGATTCAATTGGACTGTATTAGAATACAATTTCCACTGAAATTGGTTTTGGTGTAAAATAAGTCTTACCGTGCCATAACAATTTGTTTTGTTACAGGTTCAATTCTTTCAAAGAAAGCAGCTGAGTCATTGTTTGCTCTGGTTCTTGATGTGAAATATGGAAAAGCAGCACTCTATAAGGATATTAACAGCGCCAGGTCATTAGCACAGTTGCTGGTAATGTCAATGAAAACCCATCTTTCACATTCTTTAAAGTTTCTTTCTTTTAAACTGCGTCGAACATTGTATTTTGTTCTCACATTTTTTTATAATGAAAATGGAATGAAATCAATACAGATACAAGAAGCACAATATGGACTTTCCTGTAGGTGACAGTGGGGAACACTCTGGGGATTCACACAGGAGCTGTGCTAAGCAGGATGGACAATCCTATTGGACGGTGCATCGGAAACTCCCTGGAGGTGATCGAGGCCTTTGAGTGCCTGAAAGGTCGAGGGCCACCTGACCTGAAAGAGCTTGTTGTGTGTCTGGGTGAGGAGTGACATGGAACCTGAATTAAATATAGACCTTTTGAACATTTACTGTAATGCTAGAAATGACTAATTTAATACATTGAATTAAGGTGATTTACAGGGGTTACTGAAGCCACCACGATCTTGACAACCATTACACGTCTTAGCATTGATGTTTGCCATACAGTACCTCTTGCTCAATAATGATGCTATTGCCATACTGCAGACTGACTGGTTACATTATTTGCCATTCCTAATACAGTCATTTGTACTATAACATGTACATAACTCAGACTGGCTATAACACTTTTTCTATAGCACAGGTGCATGTTGGCTTTTAATGTGTTTCAAGTAGAACTAGTCACATGCTTGGAGTACAAATGGTTGGACATATTCTTTCACGCATCAGCGTCTGACGTGTCAGTTCTTTCAAAGAAAGCTGATTCACATCAGTCTTTTTCTGTATATGCAACAAAGTTGTGTATCTCAGTTATTTTTATTTTCATTCTTCAGAAACATAAATGTTGTTACATTACAAGGGCATAACATGTTGTGCTTTAAGTTATAAAGTCTTCTTAGAGAAACAGAAGAACACGTGATAGGATTCACACAACCGAGCTTAGTGGTGTGTATTGTTAACGTTTTTAAAGTTTTTTAACACATTTGTGTTAAATGTATTTTTTTTTTATGAAAATGTTGTTTCACCCTCCTTCACTGCAGAATTGTTCATCACAGCGATATAAATACTAATGCATGTTGTGCCTTATACATTTTTTAGCTGTTTTCAAAGTAATAAAAAAAAACATATTATGCAGAAGTAATACATTCAAACTACTTTTATGATTCCATGACTATGAGATAATTGAAAAAACTATGTTTGTCATTGTGAATCCAAACTCTATACCCTCTGTCCCTTTAATTCACATTGAAACAATGGTTTCTATAATGTAATTTTCTATAATATGCTGTTTTCCTAGAACACAACTATCGCATCGTAGCAGAAATGTCTATACTTGAAACATGAGCATTGTTGAATGTTATTTTTTATCTTTTTTCATGTATGTTTTCCCTGGTTTTCCTGGGGATTCTGTACACTTGCCTTCCCTCAGGTGGGTATCTGCTATGGATGGTTGGGAAGTCAGACACACTGGACTCTGGGAAGAAGACCATTGCAAGGAATCTGGATAACGGAGAGGCTTTGCGAATATTCCAGGCTATGCTGGTGGCCCAAGGTGTACCATCTGAAACAGCTGCTTCTTTGTGCTCTGAAAACCAGGATTACTTCCAGTTCATCAGGAGGGCTCAGAATCAAATAGAGCTTGTGGTGGAGACCGAAGGTAATTTGCTCTTCACTTTTTTTTCTAATGCTTATGTTCCTCTGTTAAAGCAGCTGCAATATTTCTCAAAATTCTTTCTCAATGATTTCTTAATGTGCACCTCAAATTTGCTGTATACATTTATATTTATTTATAGTCATATTGTGCAATACGACTTTTTTGTGTACTGTTCTGTTCTGGTTTTGTTGTGTTCTTTGTGTGTTCTGGACTGCGAGTAACTCTTCTACTGATTGTATTGTATGTATTGTATTATTATTATTATTATTGTATCATTCGTTACACTGTGTCTGTGTTGTCTGTGTTAAGCTGCTGTTGCACTGCAATTTCCCTCACGGGATCAGTAAAGTATCTATCTATAATGCATAATACACTTGATCACATGTTAGTTTAACCCAAAACTTACAAAAAAACATTCCATATTGTAATAGACATTCTTGTGTGTATCTTGTGTCCAGAGGTGTGTATTTCATGTGGTAGCATTCATAGCTATAGCTGTTGCTAACTGGCCACTAGAAAGTGACTTTACAGGTGCATGTTCTTGAGGATTAGATTAGAGTCTAGGGGACAACTCTTTGTCATCTACTGATTCTTTGCTCTTTCAGGGGGGTATTATTAGATCTTTATAGGAAATACTGAGGTGACAATGAAAGTATCTGTTAACAGTTATCTGTTATCTAGCACAATCGGGGTATGGAGAGGTCACTAAATGTTATTTAATGCAAAGCTACCAAATGATAAGCAGCTATTGCTTCAGGTCACAGATGGCGGAGTGCAGGGCTAGAGATCCACAGTTCTGCATATTTTCTGATTTAACATCTCGATTGTTAAAAACAACTACAAGGCATCCGAGGGGAGAGATGTAGGACCGGTCAACCAGAGACAGAACTTTCCTGTAAACAGATTAAGCTGGTGACAGACAATTTCAGACCTCAAGATGGAGGAACAATATTTCCATATGCTATTGGATGTTTGGTGGCCAAGAGAACTATTAGAGGACTTTGCTGGACATTGAATCACATAGGTCATCACTGCTTTCGGCAGTCTCAGAAATGTGTCCAACCCATCATTCATAGCTGTATTATAAGAAAATGGCCTCCAAATTGTAAAGGAGCATTAAAGCTAAAAGCAAAAATAGTTTTTACACCATTTTACCAGATAACATGCCCCTTCACCAGCAGCCATATCACCCCACAGCTCTCAGCTAGCTACCCACTGAAGCTAAGCAGGGTTGAGCCTGGTCAGTACCTGGATGAGAGACCTCCTGGGAAGCTATGGTTGCTGCTAGAAGTGGTGTTAGTGGGACCAGTGGGACCAGTGGGGGGTGCCCACCCTGTGGTCTCTGTGGGTCCTAATGCTATACTAGACTGTAGTGGGCGCCGTCTTTCAGATGAGTTGTTAAACTGAGGTCCTGGCACTCAGTGGTCATTAAAGATCCGCCGGGCATTTCTCGATAAGAGTAGGGGGTTATCCCAGTGTCTGGGCCAAATTTCCCCCCTCGGCCTTTACCATGGCCTCCAAATTGTCCCCATGTATGATTGGCTTGTTCTTGAAACATAAACAACAAACAGCTCTGTGCCCCTAAATTTACTTTAGGTCTCTTTTATGTTTAGAAATCCCCATTACGTTTCACGGTATTGGACTCTTAGGTCACACCAGTGTTCAAGTGTTCAAAAAGAACCATATGTATCATATAGAATTAAATAAAATGCAACATCATTTCAAAGAAGTGAAGAAGTTAAGGCACAGTTTTAAAATTATTAACAGTTATTAAGTAACACAGGCAAAACTATGTATCTTTTACCTATGTAATTACAAATACTACAAATACATCTCTGTCTTTCTTTTTCATTGTTACTTAAGTGATTCAGCTTGATAAATAAAACTATTTAAAAGAAAAAATAGATGATTAATTGGCAGTTATCGCTTTAATTAAACCCACCAGTTACTTTCTGGTCACACTGATAAAGCAAGTAATTAGCAGTTATAAAATAAATAACTAAGAATAGTCTTACAGGATAGCTGTCCATACCATAACAGATCTACCATAATGTTTAACAGCTGGGAACAGGCAGAGTGAGTTGAAGGCTCCGTTTGGCTTTTTCCAAGCATATACCCATCTAGATGTGGGAAAAAGACAACTTATCAGACCATATTACTTTCTAAAATGTAAACTATAAAACACTAAATAAAAGTTATTAAAATGTGCTATTAGGTTATTTTATTCAGAGTTGGTAGTGATACAACAAGGCAGGTGTTGTAAAAAGAGGAGAGGTGTCTAAAAATAACTATTAAAGGAGAAAATGTTTTGTCAATGCAAGCAATTTATACTAACTTACTTACCCTCTGAATTCCTCTCACGACCGGTGGAAATGTAAATTATATGCTCTGTCTCACTAATACAGCAACTGAAGAAAACCCTGGAACTAAAACATGACAGGTGAAGATTTGAAAGGGGGCAAAATCTATACTGTAATTCCTGTTAATTAGCGTGTACCTCGCCCAGTGATTAGAACAATTATGAGAGAGCCAGGGTTTTTCTGTCTTAACACGTGCAACTGTGGGGTGTCGTTCCAGGTACAGTCACAGAAATAAATGCAATGATCCTGGCTGAAGTTGTACATACCTTAGGAGCAGGACGAACAAAGGCTGGAGACCCAGTCAATCACAGTGTTGGAGCGGAGCTGCTGGTGTCTGTGGGTCAGCATGTAAAGAAAGGTAGGCCAAATGCAGAATTATTTTTTATTACAAATACTTAAAAAGCAAAGGCTCCTTATGAAGTATTTTTCATTACTGATATACATTTAATTAACATTTGACAATGTGGAAACATATTTTTCCAGATTATACAAAAACTGCTGTATTATAAAATAATTCCCTCCTTACAATGACATCTCAAGGACATTATTTGTCCTCTGCATTGTATTTTATCTTTTATCACCTATATTTTAGGTATCTTTTACCCACTGGGCCAGCATTGACCCAACACATTGTCAACACAATTGACACAGTATATAATGAATTCCAACATAAGACTAAAATATTGGATACTCCTGGTGATATCATACCAGCTTTAGTCATGAGTGTGTAACGTACATGTGTCTTCATAAATGCCTACTAACAGGAACACAAAATGGAAACTGCCAATAAGAAAAGTGAGCCATCAAAGGCAAGGATCAGAGGGCCTGTCTGAAAAATGATTTGTACATACTGTTTTATTCTAAGAACTTAACTCAAAGTCTTGGTATAAAAATGAACTCATAATCAAACACTGGTAACAAACAATAAAGTCTTGTTGCTTATATCCCTGAATTTTTTTAGTTACCACAACACCAAAGCAAGTTATAAAATATCTTGTTACTGTTGGAAATGAAGCTTGTTAACGGGATTTCTGTTTGCCTGTCGCAGGAGATCCATGGATCAGAATGCACTTTGAGACTCCAGTTCTGAGGGAGGATCAGAATGTCTATCTGCAAAGTGCACTTGTCATTGGCAGCAAAGCCCAAATCGATGACACACCTCTCATTTCAGAGTTCATTCTGCCTAAGTGAATCACAACAACACCAAGACTGTGTATTAAGATATTTCATATTTAAGGTGTGTCTTAAAGACATTTCATTATTCACTCTGCGATATTTTTAGTATATTATATATACTAGTATATTATATATGTACTAGATATATTTGTGTTTCCTTTCAAATTTTAAAAGTTATAAATAATATTAGGAATTTATAATAATATTATGCAATTAAAGGTTGCATTTAAGAAGTATGAAATAAAAAAATAGAAATACATTCAAGGCATTTAAGGTTCACGTACAGGGGGTGGACAAAATAATGGGAACACCTAACAAAAAAGGTCTACAATTTTGAAGTAAATAAATCACAATTAAAAATGATTCCAAGCTTGTGTTTCATATGAATTGCAATCCTAATTGCCAGTATATTTCCATTGTAAAAAGTATTTTAAAATCAACACAGATTTTGCTACAGGTCAGATAGGTGGTGCCCAAATCGCAGGTTTGTCAGTTATAGAAATGGCAAAATCATTTAATGTGTCCAAGGGAACATTGTTGAAACTAATAACAATGTCCATGATACTGGGCTGACTTCTTTGTCCTCTCCTCCTTTTCCTGACTTTTATCATATTGTAACACTTCGGGGTTCACGTGGGTGCCCTTGCTGCTGCTGCATCAGGTCAGCACCTCACCATCGGGGACTCAAACCCAGGCCTCCAGCATCACTCAACAGGGACCCAGCCTCTTGAGCCAAAGGGAAATCTCCCGTCCGCCTGGTGGTTGCGGTCCCTGCTATTCACAGGGAAGGGCGGTGACGTCACCGCTCTGGTAAGCCGGCTCTCACAAGCAATGGAGGCCGTATGCGTTACAATATTATTATAACAGCATATGCCAATAAAGAGAAAACAGCAGCAGGAAAGAGGAACAGAGGTCACAAGTTAAAGCTCATTGACAGGGAGAGATGCATTAACTGGATAGTAGCTGAAAACCAATGACCTCAAAGATACCACCAAACTGAATCTACGCCTACAGGTATGTCACCCAGTCTCAACAAAAACTGGACTGTAAGCCTTGAGCTTTACAAAGCTGATATTTATGATAAAGCTGCCATTTGGAAACCACTTATAACCAAGGGCAATGCGCAGCAATGCATAAACTGATATGAGCACAAAACCTGGAGTTCTCAGCAGTGGAAGATAGTATTATAGCCTGATTAGTTGTTTTTTTATTCTTTTTTGCTGCATCTGGATGGGTTTATGTTTGGAGACAGACAAAGGAAGACTGTTAAACATGGTGTTGGATCTGTTATGGTCTGGGCAGTAATTTAATTGAAGTCATTGGGTCTTATTACTTTGCATGGTAGATTTACAGCCGGGGAAGACAAAGCTATTTTAGCCATCCAGGTATACTCTATCGTGCAAACATTATTTCTTCAAATTACCCCATATTCCAAGATAATAATGCCCCCATACACACTGCTAAATGGATTGAAGAGTGGTTTCATGAACACCAAGTCAAACACCTCCAACGGTCTCCCCAGTTACCAGATCTAAACATCATGGAACCTTTATGGGAAGTTCTGGAATGTACAGTTGAGCTTAGAGTAGACTTCCACCTCCTTCATCTCTCAAAGAACTGGAGGCTTTCCTTCTTGATGAATGGTCCAATATCCCTCTAGAAACAGAAACTTGTTTAACAGTTATATTATTCCAAGAAGGACTGAAATTGTTCCTAAGGCAAAGGGTGTCCCAACAGTTCATACAGTATAGAGTGTTTCTTAGTGTTTCCATTATTTTGTCGATCCAATTTATGTCTCCATATTAACAGCTATTGTACTCGCTGTTCTCATAGTTTGTTTTTTTGTAACATATAGATGGAATTAATATTAGTTTTATATTACCCCAAACCTCTGAAAGACAAGGTCAATGTGGAAGAATGCATCCAACACAGATTTAATTTTTTACATATGTAATATGGTCTCTACAGCTAAGCCTGGCATGTAGGTAAATCTATTCTTCCTGTATTAACTTTATTACACTGCTACCTTGTTATGAAGTGGAAGATGGGGTCCATATCTTTCTTTATTTTGCATTAAAAGGATTAGTGGTGTTTTGTTTCTGAAATTATATACAGTACAGTGCCCCCAAGTCAAAATAAGAGAGTATTCGGTTTATGTACCACTCAGGCTACCACACTTTCATTAGTTGAAGCTGATAATGCTCGTGGTTTGACAGAACTCATCAAATGTACTGTATACCTCACTTTAATGTCTAGCTTATTTTACAAATCATAATGTAATTCTGCATTATTTCCATGTACAAAAGAATCCCAGTGGACTGATAACGAGTGAACTCTGAATGAGGCTGACGACACTATTTGCACTTGACTTAATTCTGCAAGGATTGTACTGTTGCTTATATATTAAAAATGCTTAAAGTTTAACAATATTACTTCACCTTATTTACTGTAGTTTTTACCTCTATTTCAAAAAGTGGTCATGAAGTTCGATTTATGAAACTGTTGTTATTACTGTCAACAAATCACACTGACATACCGTAGCATTGAAATAATGTCAGTGTAATTTGTTTAGATGGTGCTGTTTGTGTTTTTTTAACCGGTATGCAGGTGAATGCCCTAAAGTATCTTGAACAAAGTGTATTAGGGTGACAGAATTTGTTAAATATTGCCATAACCTGACATTACACCAAGGTCAGTGTTTTTTTTATGAGTTCATTTCAATCTTTAAAACGAAAAGCTTCTCTTAATGCACAAGTTCGTCATGCTGCTTAACTTTTTTTAGAAAAATATCTTTGTTACTAGAAAAGTAAGACTGTGTTAAGTGAATGTGTTGCTCATAGATAAGTTACAGTGTACAGGATATAGATCAGGTCACATTACATTAGTTTTAACTGGGACACCTTTGGTTCAAAAACATGTTGTACTTTTTCTGGATTTTGAACAATTTCTAGAAAGATGTGACTACAAGTGGTGTGTAAACCCTGAAGCACTGGATATGTTGGAACAAGTCAACATAAAGAGATGTAATTTCATTTTAATCAGTATCTCTGAGGGCCTCTATTGTTAGCTGTTTTTAAAAACAATCTTTGGTAAAACCAAGGTCATCTTGATAATAAAGCAGGATAAAATCTAAATGATCTAAGTAAATATATATGATTTGTTTGTAAAATGAAGTAGTCCAGCAGCAGAGACAAAAGAGGGTTCAGGTTCTTTAATGGAGTTTATTTAACTAAAATTCGGGAGGGATGACAACAGCCAAGCCCAATCATTCCCAGCCATCAGTGATTAGCAATCACTCCCTTTGCCCTTCCTACACCGAATGCTATAAATACCAATTGCGATATCTCTCTCACGTGCGACTTTTGCATCCCAACTCCACCTCTGCAGCTACCCCTTGGTTACCTTGTGGGGGGGTCCTGGCCTTCTCGTCCTATGGCCAGGAGGTCGACCCTCAGCCAAGCGGGTTAAGCCAAACATTTACCCCACAATAGTTCGTTACACTTCGATTTTGGGGCGTTGTCATTCCTCGTGAAATTACATCATAAAGGGCTCTGAAGCCATGTTGAGTGGTCAACTATACAACAAAGAGTTTGATTTTTCTTAATGTCTGACAGATAAATAACATACAGTCATAGATGGTGTTAAAAAGAAACGGAACGAAAGGTAGGGAGGGGAAAAAAGAGTGTTCTGGAATGAGGGACAGAATAGGTCTTGTTTGTACAAGCAGTTTTGTATGTCAGCCAGCAGCATTGTTCTTCAGGGAAAGATGGGAGATGGACTAGCCTGTTGTGTCCTTTGGAGGCATGTTTATTTTTTTTTCCTTTATAACTAAAACAATTAAATGCCCCTCTGATCCAACAGATGTGATTTATTGCATTCTTCATATTTAGTTATCAATGAGCCATAATCTTGTACATTTTGCAAGTCAGTGTGTTATTAGTCAGTGTATTATGTTTTTTTTTGTTAGTAGCAGCATGTAGCACTCACACTGAGCAATATAAGCAAAGATCGAACATTCATCTTTTTCAGGACCAAGGTAATGAAGTTGAATGCCTTTTCACTGTCTCCAGAATCTTTGAACAAACAAATCTTAGGTGTTTATTTTATGTTCACTAAGTGATTTGTACCTGAGAAAAAGTTAAATAACCGTGAGTGTTTAATCAACTCAGTTACACATTTGAGACCTAAAGTGAAATGAAAATCCTGTGATTGTGGAGGACCTCATTTAAAGAAGACTGAATTCCAGATATACAGAGTGACTTCACTAATTGTGGCAAAATAATTCATATATATATCCTAAGGATGAATATAAAATCAGATTAAATGTCCATCCATCCATTATCTACAACTGCTTTATCATATTGATGATTAGAGGCAGGAGCCTGACCTTTGCAGAGCAAGGGAGCGATTTGGGACTACTCTCTGGACAGGATGCCTGTCCATTGTAGGGTGCAAATACAAAAGGCAAAACATTCTGAGACACCTAATAATTTAACCAGCATATTTTTGGAACAAAGCCAGAACAAATGGAGAAATTACCTGAAATGTAAACACCAAGGTCAGAATGAATGTCATCCATTATGTGAACCACATAGAAAGAACAAGTTTTTTCCACCAAATCAAGTCCTGTGATTCTTTTTGGACATAAATTTAATTATGTGTTGCAGGTTTTGTTTTTATTCTTGTTGTCAATTCATTTCTCAGAGATTGTGCAGGCAAGATGTGAACCAAATGGTGGATATACTGAAAATACATTTGTGTTAACAAAGCATGCTCTTTATTGCATTTTTAAGACAATTTATCATATGAATCAATAATTTGGGCAGATGTTTTCCTTTTCAATTGTGTTTTAATGATATTAACCAGATGATCGTATGATTTTTCATATCACATACATTTTTTAATAAATGATTATAAAAAGTGTCTCTATGTGGTGGATGAATCACTTTCATATATAGGTAGACCAACTTTAAACCTCTTGCACAGATACTAAATACTTCAAGTTGGCAGTAATTTTTTTTCCTTTGAAAGTCCTGTGGAGAACGTAACTGTTTTTTGTTGCAGATTTTGAGTTTGCTACTGTACGTTTTCAATTGCTCTTGTAAACAAATTTGTGTAACGGATTTCTTTTACAATGGCCTTGAAGATATTCATCTGTCGTGCATAGCTTTTCACTTGTTCCTCCGAGCACTGCAGGGAAGAGTAAGAAAAAGCACAATGTAAATGTGTTTGTTAATACCATACGTTCATTTTCTAATTTTCATGGGGGAACCAGAGCCTATCCCAACAAGCAATGGGTGCTGGTCTAGTCCATCACAGGACACATTGGGACACAGACACACTCCAACTCACACAAGGGCCAATTTTCCCAGAAGCCAATTAACCTACCAGTATGTCTTTGGACTGTGGGTGGAAACTGGAGCACCTAGTGGAAATCCACACAAATACTGGGAGAACATACTGTACAGTACAAACTCCATGCAGATGGCACCCCATCTCTGGACTTTAACCTGGGGTCCCAGCTCTGCAAAACAGCAATGCTAACCACTGTGCAGCCATGCCCATAGTTTGCAAAGCATGGGATTCTATCTATTCATGTAGAGGTAACTCTCATGCAGGTGATCTTTAATGACAATGAAACTAACAGTTAGTCCTTCTTCAACTAAACATCTCTCACAGTAGAATTACTGTAGTAAGATTTCAGAAGTGGGCTACATGTTTTTTTTGTCCTTGTTAAATATGTCATCCATGTACTGTAGATACACTTGCAATGAATTACAGGTCAATAATGAATCTGGGCTGATCTAAACTCCTTGAGTGGTCTTACTCTGGTCACAGCTCGCATGAGTCGTCTCAGAACAGCATCTTCCATGTGTGGGCTGAAACTGGTTACCTCACTGACGCAGTCAAGGAGGCAGGAGATGGTCTGGTCTTGGTGCTGGTAAGACCCAAGACAAAAAAAGACAAATTGAAACCTAGTTAAACATGGAAGACTAATAAATGCTTTAAACTGTACGGTGTGGAGTTTAAAACAAAAGTGAATGGGCGTTTGGGCACCAAGTGTCGAGGGTTGTATACAATCGATGTGAATTGCCTTGATGGGCCAGTGACACCTTAGTAATGACTGCATTTCCTGCCCTGATCAACAGTCCTCTTAACATAAGCACACTTGCCAACACTGTTCAAGGGTAATGTGTGGGGCTGCAAACAGATTGGGCTGGACCTGTAATTGAGAGAGGGACCTGAGAACAAGAAGAGACAGAACAGTGCATCAGCACACTTTGCCATATTTGGACACTTCCTGGAAGAGCCCTGGGCAGGTGGCTCAGCCCACACAAAGCTTCCCGCCCACTGCGGGAAGAGTCAGGAACCTAGGAAGCCCCAGTCAGGGGAGAACTGGGACCTTTGGAAGAAGGATGTTTTGCAGGACAGATTGCAGTAGGACCAACGAGAGGGCTCAGATACCAGGGACTGGGAGATGTGAAGGAAGACCTCAGCATCGTCTTTCTCCCCCCTCTGCCCGATACTGGACTCGGGGACAAACAGGGTAGAGAGGGGAACACCAGGGACACATTGTTCAGGACAGCCAGGGCCACAGAAGATACCCAAGGATCTTCACAGAGCACAGAACTGCCAGACTGTATTATTTTGGGACACTTGTTGGGTGACTGGGGTCCAATGGGGTGTTTGTGGGTGTCCTTTAGAGTTGGTTTTGTTATAATGAACCCTCTGTGTTGAGTGGATAGCGTTGAATGTTCTTAAACACCAGAAAATAAAAAGGGCTCTTTAGCCATACCAGTGTCTGTTGTTGGTCGATGGATATACTGGTGATTCTGGGAGATTAATAGAGCCTGTGACAAGGAAATAAGGGGCCTAGCACTCTTTATAACTGCTTAGTGGCATAGTAACATACAAGGCAGGAATAATTCTTGTTTAAGGAGTCACCTAACAGTATACAGTATTGTCATATTATTTCCAATTTGAAATCAATCCATCCATTTTCTAACTGCTTCCTTAAGTTCAGGGTCATAGCAGAGCAGGAGCTCATCCCAGTAAGTAACAAGTGCAAGGCAAGGTACACCCTGGATGGGATGCCAGTCCATCAAAGGGCAGACGGACACAAACAGAGATACAGACATGCACACACGGGTCAATTTTCCCAGCAGTCAATTAACCTACTAGTATGTCTTTTTGACTGTGGGAGGAAACCTGAGCATCCAGAGGGGAGATAACAGATCCATTGCTGGACCTGTTATCAAGCAGATAACAGGTCCAGCAATGGTAACCACTGCACCACTGTGATATGATTATCTTAATAAAAATAACAGGCGTACATCACCATCTTTGTTTTGTTTTATGTCTTATTATATGAATACATATAAACAGAGGCATGACTAATAACTACTACAGGTGTAATGTAATTCTAACTGTTTTGTTGTTTTGATGCCTTTCCTCAAAGTAAAAATAAAATAATATACATATACTCTTAGAATATAAAAATATACATTTCACAGAATGTGTTTAATTCCTCCTTAAAACACATTGAACCTTTCTAAAATATCTTTGCTGATGCTACAGTTATCACCTTTGAAAATGTCATCATTCACTCATGCAGTATGTATCTCCATGAATATTCACACACAGCATCAATGTTGTTCTAGTGTTACTAACACTGTGTATGATAAAGCTCTGTTTACAGGTAGTAAACATTTTGTGGACAATGTAGGCTGAATGTACCAAACTGTTATGTAGGTTTTGATGTTTGCATTCTATCTTTTTTCTGGATATGCATCAACCTATTAAATTCCAGGTAGTGATTGAACTGGCCACATTCGCGTTTCATTGCAAAATGCTATTCAAAAAGTGTAATGAACTGCAGCAGCAAAATTCAGGAAGCTACTGCTGTGCTTATGGGCTCATTTACCTTGTGCAGTACTTTGAGACCTTTCTTATCATGTGTGCTTGAAACCAGCAGTTCTAGGTCGGCAGATTTCAGAACAGGTTCCTACAGACAGAAGAATGGCTGTGATTAGCGAGAAGAAGACATTTGCTTAGGTTTATTAGTTATTAGACCAGTAATTAGATTATAGACCACATGTCTTTGGACTGTGAAAGGGAACAGGAGCACCTAGAGGAAACCTACATGAACACAGGGAGACAATATAAACCAAATGCCGATAGCACCCCTGTAATTGAAGTCAGGGCCCCAGCACTGCAAGGCAGCAATGCTAACCACTGCACCACTGTGCTGCCCTATACCTAGAAATCATCATCACCGATAAACAAGTGTCAGTTATAAGAAAAACTATGGCAGTGACTATGACTTATAATTGATGTAGATGGAAAAAAGAAAGCCGCAAAAACTAAGATAAGTATCAACTGCAAAAGCTTTTCACTAGGACGTCTGTGAAATTTAAAATTACATATCTAAGATATTAAACAGTGCCTAAAATTTGAAATCCTTCACACAGAAATAAGAAAAAAAAAACAGTTGTATTAATATTGGATCCTTCTTTAACTTAAAAATGTACAAATAAGGAAGTCTAATATGCAATTTTACTATTAAATAAATATTTAAAATCTGATATACTGTATGATACTGTACTTATTCCTTTCATGTACTGTATGTATGAACTAAAAACGTATTTTTCACCAAAATTAACAACTGTTTCCAATTCTTACATTAGCACATGTCACCCAAAAATGAAAAAGGTGTTTCATTGACATTCATTGACAAGTAATTACGCAGCTTTCTGCGGATTTCCACTCTAATCACTGACCTTTAACTGTTCCAGCCAGGACCATAACAAATAACTGAGGACTCGGGGGTCTGGTTCCACAGCCAGCATTGCCCAGGCTCCCTCATTGCCATTCAGTTCACCCTAGGGGGTAAATGGCAGACAACCACACTCTTATTTTACTCCGATTAGAAGTATCATTCTGTCTGTTGCTTTCACATTTCTAGAGTTCTCAATTAGGGGATTTGTGCAGAGAAAACAGCACGTCTTACCTGCAGGAGAGCTGCTCTTCTCAAGATGTCATTTCCAACGGACTCTGTTTCTGACATTGCTTTGGCAACAGTCTGGGAGACCGATGCTATTCCAGGCTGATTCTGAGTTCTGTTTAGCTGGAGTAAAAAGTAATGTCTGTAACTTTAATTTACAAATACTTTTATTTCATGAAACATTTGGCCATGCCAGCACAACTGAAATGTAAACAGACAAGAAAGACAAGCCAGGCGCTAGGAGCCAAACAAACCATTGTTTAGAATTCAAAGTCATATTGTATGAACCCTTTACCTACAGATAGCACTTTAAAGCTGCCTACCTGGGATTATGAATGTTTCCATAAATGTGTGTATTGCTTCTGCTTCATCCAATAAACAGATTTTTGTTTTTGTCAAATAAATGGATTATTGCAGTCAACAACAATGTTGTTGTTGGTTTAGGATAAAAGTACCATGAAAAGAAACCCAAAGATATACCAATATAGTGTATGCTGATGATCTACACATATAGAGAGATAATTATACTTTTCTGCCATTTATGTCTTTGCAATTTCATTTTCATTCCCAAAAAATAATGTTATTAGTTTTATGTTTAAGAAAATATTAATTAAGGAAATATTTCTGTTAAATTTCTCACCCTCAAATAAAAATGGTGATTACTTTTTGCATGGGAATAATTAGTAAAAGGAAATGCGTGCAAGGTCAATGTCATTTGATTATCCCTATAAACCAGAATTCAATTCAGGTCTTACCTCTCATTGAGAAAGTGAGTGGCAAAAAGATACACTGCAGAACAATTAGGCTTAACTGGCTTAACTTTTAAATGGCTTCCCCAGTCCTCTGATGCAGAAAACATCCGTGTACACTGTACAGTACACCTGTGTGTGTGTGTCTGTGGTGCTGTGTCTTGTATTTACCTCCACAGTTGTAATAAACCTCCCGAGTGCCGGAGTTTTCTTCTTCTTCCACTTGCCATTGCTCAGAGCTCTGTGTGTCTGCAAATCTCTTGCTATGGCATCACAGTTGTTCAGGCATTCACCTCTGGTCCTGAGTATTGAAGAGCCAATGTTCTTATCGGGAGGTTCTCTTCTGGGGGCTGCTGGGTCTTCATTAGCTGGTTTGTCTTCTAGCTTTGGACAGTCCGAGCAAATCCTCACTAATGAGGGAGGGAGCTGCACAAATTCTAGGTCCTGAAACAAATCAATTGAAAATGTCATAATTGATTAACAGAGGTAGCCTTCTGCTGGAACAGTTTTGTTAATTCATTATTATGGCACAACTACCCAATTTTCACTACTTCTGGCTCTTTCTACTCACAGTTAATGTATCAAAATGAGTTTGAAACTGTCCTTTGTTGTGTATGTTATTTTAGTTCAATGTTGTTACAAAAAGCCAAATGCAACATAGTTAAAATGTATATTTTGTCTGCAAAAAGCAACATAAAAACATTTTAGTACTGACTCAAATTCAAATCTTTTTTGTCCCTCTTGCTGCGTTGTCCACCGAGATAGCGCGACTTGCCTTTTCCAGCAGTGCAATCCTGCTGAGATCTGAGTCGCTGTAGCTTCTCTTGTTCTGTAGAAGCTCTCTCTTTCTCTCCTGAAATCTCTCCTTTTCCTCCCAGGAGGTGACAGACTGAATTGGAGGGTTTAACGCATTATCAGGATCCAACAGCACTGGTGTGACAGCGTCGCGTGGAAACTTCTGCTTGATAAGCGTCTCTCTTACAAGCACAGTTAGGTCAAACACAGTGGCTTCTCTTTCCACCTCAGCGTGCAGGCTGCTGCCATCGGCTTTGTTTAAAGCTATTAGTGTCAGTCTCCTGCAGATGAAGTCCACGATTTTAGGCACGTGTTTCAAATTCCGGGCCTCATAACCATGGAGCAGGTTTTTCTGCCTGTTCAGATACTGCTGGAGGGTGAAACTGTTGTGTCTGGTGCTAACGCTGGCGTACAGGACGAGGTGAGGAGCGAGGAAACGAGCAAAGTCAAAGACCAGGTTAATCTGCGCTCTGGTCTGTATGGAGCAGGGCCGTTTGATACGGACATAATGGATGGCCTCACTTGGACTCACACGTGTGATGTAAATTAAGTAGCAGGCAACGAGGACTCCTGTGGAAAACATGCATAACATAGAATTCATGAAACTGGGATACCACTCCCCCAATGTACATTAGTTGTGACCTATACACTACACTCATGTGCCCCATGGTCTACTGACCAGTTATGCTCAATCAAGGCAGTCTCCTGCACACTAGAACATAGGTGGCGTCTTTCTAGCTTGAATGTACATCTTCCATCTTGGAAGGAGCACTTGACCGAATACAAGGATTCAGCAGAGTCTGCTAGATCCAGCTACTTCTCCCTTATCATGGAGAATATCCACAACAATCCTAGAGACCTGTTCTTCACCATCAACAGACTGCTTAAGCCAAACTAACCCACTACATTACCTGCCTCATCCCAACTTTGCAACACTTTTTCAGGGTTCTTTAGTTCCAAGATTGACACCTGGCATCACATTCTCTCAACAGCTAACGCTACCTACTACACCTTTGTGGGAGCAAACATGTGTGATAGAACACAGCAGAAAAAATACAAGCTCTTTGCAGTTTAACCATAAGAACTTGTTCCATAATATTCAGCCCATGTAGCCTGTTTGGAAGCTAGTAGTTAAATTATCCAATGATCAATGATCTCATCCAGCCATTTCTTGAAAGAATCCAGGGTATCAGCCCCAACAACATGGCAGTGTAGCTTGTTTCATACTCCCACAGACCTTTGGCTAAAGACGTTCCTCCTGTTCTTGTTTTTAAATTAGGTTCTACTTAGTTCCCATTTGTGCCCTATGGTTCCTGATTCACTGTTCATTCTGAAACTATCAATCCATGATCATTTAACGAAACACTCCCTTGAGATTTTCTGTCTGGACTGTTGATTATAAACCATCATTTCTTTTAGCAACTGAAAACTTCACCTGTTCTTCCCAGTCCTGCATGGCAATGTACAGCAACCTTGCCCTCCTTCACAGCAAATGCCAGCACTTTCACACCATCCAGTATTCGAATCAGGGAGGATACTCCGAAATCTGGCATACCGAAGTTAAAGAAATAGACTTGGGAGAGAAACAAAAGAAGTGAAACTTTTTCACTAAACGTGCTGCATATCCTCTTGACAGCTTGTCATTTTTGGGCATATCTCTTATTGCCACAGAATTTGTTTAAAACTTGTTTAAAATGCATGTGCCTGCATGCAAAATTGTAACCTGGATTGCATGCAAAAGAACCCAAAACTGAAAACTGGCAATTTAATTACTTATTCTATAGCATAGTTACTGTACCAAAAAGACAGTCAAACTATTTCCTTAATAACAAATACCCCACTATTTTCTATTATAGACTTGTCAGAATAAATATGTTATAATAAATAAAGCTTCATATTCATTGTACTTGTATCTTAAGACATATCCTAATGTATGGAATATTCTGAACACATACAAAAATTCACAGTGAGCATGAAAGAAAAATAAGTATTTCTAAATTAGACATATATTTATTAACCCTGATGGTTTGTAAATTTTGATGAACTTGCTTGACAAAAACATTACAAAATTGCAGAACATAAATTCAAGGTGTTTTTCTTTTAGATCAACTTGCCTATCCACTTCTTACAAGCCATCCGAAACTGCATTGACTTACTTCCATTATCCATGAAGACTTGGGGTAAATAAGAGAAGCCACTCTCTCGTTCCAATGGTGATCCACAGTGAGCATGCTCCCCTGCCACCTGCATATTGATGATGGATTTTATGTTCAACCTAATGGGAATAGCAATACCAAAAGAGCAGATTTAATGCCAGAGACTGGAAAAACCATTCAGGGATTTCATAGCTGCTACAATAAAGGTTAAGCACAGTAAATCAACAATTTTAACCTAAATCAACAGCCACTTAAAGATGGCCTTCGTTTTCTTCATTATAAACTACGTATGCTCAGACTCTGGGTTCTCATTGCATCTGTAACAGTTCTCTGCTTTTCCACCTTTGCTGCTCCTGCCCTGCCAGATCATCCCTCACTGCCTAGGCGCGAACCCGGATCCAGCGTCACACAACAGGGAACTTGCCAGCTGAGCTAAAGGAGACCTCCCTCAACCTGGCTGGCTGAGATCCCTGTAATATGCAGGGGTGTATTCGTTACACATCCAAAATTAAATGTGACAGTCTGCTACCTGTGTTATCTGTTTTTTTTTAAACTAGTTTGAAGAAAGCTTGATGAGCTAATGTAAAAAAAGAAACTTCGCACAATATTCAGCGACATGCTTAACAAGGCAAATTAAAATTCTTCAATATTATGATAACTTACTTGTGGAATTGATCTATAATGTAATACTTCTTAATTAGAGCCGTAGAAGGTCTTGCCATGGCTAGAATATCATCTGTCACCCTAAAGGCAAACAGAAACCACATTCCATGACTACTATACAACAGAGGTCTTTTTAGATCATTTTGTAATGCTTATTTCAGTGTTCCAAGGTTATACAAATAGTAACGTGCAAAATCAATATTTATTTTTCCATCGTAAAAGGATGATAGCTGTACTGAAATAAGTAATGCCAGCTGTTTCTTAAAATAATAGAGAAAGGCACTGTACAGCTGAAATTACTCACTCAGGCATGTGCCTTGAACATCTTGCTGTTCCTCAGAGACTTTAATGAGGAAGCAAATCAATGAAATGTGATTCTCCCCTATTGATTTATGTGCATAGTACCCAGCAGGGCACAAGTTTGGCGTCACTAACACAGTTGTCTACATTTACGATGAGCTCAACAAAACTGCAAAGCACTGTTTACCATTATACCTACACAAACGTTTCTACAGTGAAAGGCCAGTTAATTATTACAAATCAGGTGGATACTGATCATAAAGAAGGAAAATAAGCATATTGAATTCTACCATGTGGAAAAGACACCCCGTATGGCCTGCTGTCTCAACGTCCAGGTTGCTGGTCCCTCATAACGACAATCTTTTCCTCTGCAGGTCAGAGCGCAGATAAGATTTGGGGGCATGGTTTTGACAAGGTTCTCTCGGGCCTGGGAATAGGAGGGCCTGGGCCCAGGAATACACAGGGCCATTCCTGGTGTGCAGGCGGATGTGAATGGACAGGCTTTGTCTGAACAGCAATTACGGCGGAGTGCAGCCAACCGAAAAGTTCGTCTGGTAATGAACATATTAAAGAAATGTAGAATTAGGTATATGCCCAGGACAGCAAACAGCAACATTAAGCAGCAGAGTTGTGACAATAAAGTGTATAAATCCTGAAATACATAAAGACCATCTTAGAAAAAAGATTCTAAGCAAAAGTATTACATTAAATTATGTTACAATATTAATTGATGTCTTTAAAGTCTTGTTTCTAGTGCAGACAAGATCATGAATCTTCACACTAAAGTGAATATTGACAATCTTTATGACTGTTAAAATGATATACAAATTGCATCACTTACCATTATTGCGTCACATTTTGAAATAATTAAAGCACCATAAAAATCAAATCTGTTCAAATCCCCAATAGGCTCTAGTGTATTAGAACTAGAAATGTACATAGGGCTGCTTCTCTCACTGCCTTTGTGGTTGCTTATTCTGACCTACATCCACTAATCCCTGTTATTAATTCCATAAACACATTAAGACACAGAGGACCGGGGCTTGTAATATTCTTTGTTATATAACTGGGCTCCAGACCAAACACACCTTTATTCTAAACTGAGCCATGACTGAAAAGTTCAGAAATACTCTAAATTAGACAAATTGTCCTTCGGGATCAATAAAGACTTATCTTATCTTATCTTAAATTGCCAGACAGTGTGCAACAAATATTTTATTTAGGAAATCAGTGCCGAATTATAGACACTCTTGATAAACAGGACCATATTAATTCCTTCCTGTGTTTTTCTTGGTTTTCACTATGTCAGGCTTGACATTCAATAG